CAAGGTGGTTCAGGAGCTTCTCCAATTGAAATGACCACCCAGGCTTGTACTGAATCCAAAAAGGATAAGGTAGCCTGCTTTGAGTCTATGGATCTGGACATGGCAGCTAGTCAGGGTCTAGTTTTGAGTAATCTGGATAATATCTTTAAGGCCCAGAGCCCTGTCTCTTCTTCTAACCTCAAATCCAAACACACATTTTCCAGAGTCTCTAGGAATAAAATGGTCACAGAGAACTCCCACAAGGAAGTATCTCAGGTAGATAACCTCAGTGGCTCTGTGACCCAAAACCTGAAAAGAAAACCTGAGGAGGACTCTCTTTCTATCCCTGCTCTCCCAGCTCTTATCTTGAAAAAGCAAAAAATAAATGATGATCTTTCTGAAAAAATGGTGGAGGCAACCAGCCATAACTGGTCCCAAAGTGATAAATGAGAGTACTGGTGTGGAACTGTAGAGGTCTGGGAGGACCCTCTACAATTCCCCAGTTGAAGGATAAGATTAAATCCTACCTCCCTGATTTTGTTTTCCTCTCAGAAGTTAAAAAGAAAAAACCCTTTGTAAATACTGTTTGTCGAAATTTTCCTTTTATTAATTCTTGGGAGTATGAGTTACCCCAAGGTAAAAAAGGTGGTCTTTTGTTAGGTTGGTCCACTAAAGTTAATGTTCATAGCATTCTCAGTAATAGTTTTTCTATCCAAGTTTGTTTCAGTTGGAGTAATGATGGGGATAAGCTGTGGGCTATCTTTATCTATGCTAGTGTCATTCCCATAGAGAGACAATCTCAATGGGACTTTTTGCTTTGTTCCCAGTCTTCTTGGGGGGATGTTTGGTTTCTGGGTGGTGATTTCAACGATATCCTTAGCATGATGAAAAATTGGGAGGTCTAGCTAGGAGTGAGAGCAGTTTTCTCAATTTCAGAAATTTTGTTCAAAATCTGGGAGTATATGAATGTCCAGTGGTTGGGCATCCCTATACTTGGTCAAATGGTAGGCAAGGGCATGACTTTGTTGAGGAGAAACTTGATAAGATTCTCTTCTCCCCAAACTGGCTCCTCAAATTCCCCAAATCATCAGTTCTGCATGTTCCCATGATATCCTCTGACCACAGTCTTCTTATGATGGAAACTGAAACTTTGGAGAAGGGAAGAAGAAAGAGGTTTTGTTTTGAGAGCAGATGGGTCAAAATAGAGGGGTATGAAGAGTGTGTGAATAGGGCCTTGAAAACCCCAGTGCATGGAAGAGGACTATATAGCTTCCAGCAAAAGCTTAGACATGTCAAGATGAGTCTATTGGGATGGTTAGCTAATCAGCAAACAAATTCCTCTAAACTTATACAGAGTTGCAACTCAAAGCTTGAATTGCTGGGTCAACAAGGGGGTAGTAGGGATTGGCAGGAGTGGTTTCAGTGTAAACAAAGGTTGCACCAGGCTTACCTTGATGAAGAGGTTTATTGGAAATCCAAGTCTAGACTGAAATGGCTACAAGAAGGTGACAGAAATACAAGGTTCTTCCAGGCTTGTGTTAAGCAAAGAAGGGGTAATAATGCTCTGGGCAATTTATTGAATAGTAGGGGAGAGAGATGTAAGAGTAAAGAGGAAACTGCAGAGACATTATCAGACTACTTTCAGAAGATGTTCCAATCTGAAAACCCCACTTTTGTAGAGAATGTGCTCAATGGAATGAAAGCCTCAATTACTCCTGACATGAATATCAAACTCACTAGAACCGTGGATGAACAGGAGATCAAAGCTGCACTCTGGGATATGGAACCTAGCAAGGCTCCAGGTATTGACGGCTTTTCCCCTGCTTTCTTCCAAATGTCTTGGGAGCTTATCAAATCTGATCTTTGTAAGGCTATTAAAAACTTTTTCTCTGCCGCTGTGATTCCTAAATCTACCAATCATACTATCATAACCCTCATTCCCAAGATTAAAAATCCTCAAAAAGCTTCTGATTTTAGGCCCATAAGCCTCTGTACTGTGACATATAGAATCATAGCTAAAATCATCTCAAATAGGCTCAAATTTGTTTTGCATGTTTGCATATCCCACTCTCAAGCTGCTTTTGTTCCCGATAGGCAGATTTTAGACAATGTTATCTTGGCTAATGAATGCATCCACTTTCTAAATAGCAGAAGAAAAGGCAAAAAAGGATTCATGGCTCTCAAAATTGACATGGCAAAAGCCTTTGACAGGGTAGAATGGCATTTTTTAATTCAGGTGTGTAGGAAAATGGGGTTTCATGACACTTTTCTTTATTGGATATGGATTTGCCTCAGTACTTCTTCTTTTTCTTTCAATGTTGAAGGCCAATCTCGGGGAAATGTCATACCTACTAGGGGTATTAGGCAGGGTCACCCACTGTCTCCCTACCTTTTTATCATATTATCTGAGGCCCTTTCAAATCTTTTGCATCAGGCTAGCCTTTTTTCTAACTTTCAGGGGCTGAAAATCAGTACTCACTCTCCAAGTATTTCTCACCTCTTTTTTGCAGATGATGCAATTATTTTTTGTCAAGCTGACTTAGCTCATGCTCATACCCTTATCCACATTCTGAACCTCTACTGCTCAGTCTCAGGCCAAGCCATTAACCTCCATATATCCAATATTTTTTTTTCTGCTAATACCCCTGAGCCTTTGAAAGCTGATATTTGTCATGTTTTCCATGGAATTGTGCTGGCAAGAAACTCTAAATACCTGGGGCTCCCCTTAGGTATAGGCAGAAACAAGAAACGAACTTTTGATTTTGTGAGAGAGTGTGTTAAATCCAAAATTTCTAGTTGGAAAAACATTTTTCTCAGTGAGGCAGGCAAGGAAACTCTTATTAAAACCACCCTTTGTGCTCTCCCTGTATATGTTATGTCTGTTTTCAGGTTGCCCGTGGGGGTGTGTCAGGATATTTGTAAAGAAATTGCAGGCTTTTGGTGGGGCAAATCTGAGTGTGGGAATAGTAGAATTCATTGGGCCTCATGGGAGGCTTTGGCTAGGCACAAGTGGGAGGGGGGTTGGGTTTTAGGGATATTGGGAACTTTAATGAGGCTCTGATTATTAAGCAGATTTGGAGGCTGCTTACTAAGCCTAACTGTCTTATGAGCCAGGTTCTCAGGGGTAGATATTTTTTTCAGCAAAGCTTCTTGGACATCCCTAAAAGAAGTTCGGACTCCTGAATGTGGAAATGTTGGCTTGATGTTAGGAAATCTCTTAGGTTGGGGCTGAGAGTGCAGGTAGGAAATGGAACCTCTATAGATGTGTGGAAGACCCCTTGGGTCCCAAACATCCCAGCTTTTATCCCTGATTACACTCTTGCAGGTGATTTGTTACAAATTAAAAAAGTCTCAGACCTTATGGTAGCTGAGGGTGGGTCATGGGATACTGCACTGGTCTTACAGACTTTCCCCCCTATGTTGCCCAACAAGTCTTAAAGTTGCATATTAGTCAAAGGGGGAACCCTGACAAGTTGATCTGGCATTCTCACAAGCAAGGCCAATTTTCAGTCAAAGAAGCCTACAAGCTGATTAGAAGCAGGAAAAACGTGGCTACAGGTGGAGTGGGACCAAGCAAATGCAGAGAGCTCACTATAAAAAACATGTGGAGGAAAACCTGGCACCTGCCTATCAAACCTAAAATAAGAAACTTCCTTTGGAAGAGCTGGCACAACTGGCTTGGAACAAAGGTTAATCTGCTTAAGAGAGGAGCCCAAACTGATGCAGTATGTGGTTGGTGCGGAGAACATGAGGAAAATCTTGAGCACTTGCTGTTCCAGTGTCCAAGAGCAAAAAATGTATGGAAAATTGCAGGATTATGGTGGCACAAAATGCAGTCAGACAACATGAGTTTTAGAGACTTGTGGGAAGACCTATGCAGCCTCACAGACACCACCTCCAACAAAAACAGAATCTCCCTCTCCACATACCTCTTATGGTGGTTGTGGAGAACAAGAAACTCTTGGATATTTAATAAGGAGAAGACTTCTGAGGTGATGGTGGTTGAAGGAGCCAGGAGGGAATGGTTGGAGTATGAGGAGGCTAATATTTCCAATTCCAGGAAAGGGGACAGGAAGCAGGGAGTAGGGGTTCATTCAAATGATCTCAGTGCTAGTGCTGCCAATCCCACCACCTGGAAAATCAGAGGCATAGCTACAACAAATGCTAACACAACAAATGCTAAGAAGATTCAGTGTTTTTTAAAGGAAAACTCTTCAACTCATTGTCAAACTGAAGATTCCTTACTCCAAATCAGACAGTGGCTCACTAAAGGAATTGAACAGAGATGGTTCAAAGCTGAAATATATATCAGGGATGAGGCTATGAGATGCAAGTTATCCAAAAAGCAGCATTTTGATTGGAACTTGGAAATTCTGGCTATGGACATTCATTCCCTATCTTCAAAGTTCCAATCCGTTTCCTTCCCTCAAGTTCTATGAGATTTAGTCTGTTTTGTTTTTGGTTTTGTGGTTTTTGTTTTGTAGCTTTTATGCTTGCCTGTTTTTTAGGCTCTTTTTTCCTAGGTTTCTAGTTTTTGTTCTTTCTGCTGCTTGGTTTTTTCTGTTTCAGACCTTGTTGGTCTTTGTAGGGAGGCCTCTCTATGGTTTTCCCAAGCACTTGTAGCCCTTTGGCTACCCGATTTGTACATTGATGTTGGTGTAATATATAATTTATGTTTGTTAAAAAAAAAAAAAATCGAATTCGAGCTCTATTCATTTATCATTAATAATAAGCCGGGAGATCGAGCCTAACGAGCCGATCTCAAACTTTACGAGTTAGACTATATAAATTACATAAAAATTTATTTTTGAGCTTTGACAAGTCTTATCGAATCGAGTTAAGCAAACGAGTTTTAAACGAAGCTCGAGCTCGGCACGTTTAATTTATCAGAACTAGTCGACACAGGAGACAAATGCAGAACCTAGTTTGGATTTGGGGTTAACCAGAGCTGGGATCTTCAAGAGCTTACAATTACGACAGCAAAACCCTCGAACAATCATCAGCCGACAGCCGGTCGATTAATGGCGGCGAACAAGATCGGTGACTGGGCCTTCAGAGCTTTCACGGCGGGTCTCGGCGTTGCCACGATATACCTAGCAGCTACCTTCTCCGTCAATGTTTACCGTGGCCTTGCCTGGCACTCCGCCCAATCGGTAATAAGCATTTGCCCTTGCTTTTTCATACTGTAATAGTTATTTTATTATTATCTTTTTTATTTTTTGTTGTGAAGTCTTCATTTTGCATATAGAAATATGTTATGAAAATCGAGTTGTTTCTGGAGGCTAGAGCTTCTGTATGTTAATCGGTTGATGTTCATGAGTCTGTCAGTGCATGTTCATATGCCAAATGAGAAGCCCTTTTTGGATTGGTTAGGGATCGATTATGATACTTTGATGTTAGTGTCACTCTTTTGGCATATTCATATGCCAATTGAGAAGCCCTTTTGGTTAGGGATTGCGTGTGATACTTTATCTGATGTTAGTCTCACTCTTTTGGCTATTCATAACCATAAGAAGAACAAATTGGGAGCAGTTTTGTCGGCCAAGTGAGTTGCAGAGAAGAAGTAATAATGCTGCGTGTTGGATCTTACTGCGAACGATTGTGAAAATGTGTCCTTTGTTGGTGTCTGACTCTGATCATAGTGTTGAATCAGCTGATAACTCGCCCATCAAAGTTTTCTTGTGTTATGATGGGTTCAATGCACATATGGTTATTATGAGGTCACAACTACACTTGAATTGAATTGGAAAATTGGGATAGTAGGACAAAATTTTCTTGAAGCTCTTGGATATTGTCTGTACTTCTCAAGATTTTGTATTATACCAAAGAAGTAGGACCTATTTTTCATTCCTGGCCGCTCATTTGGAAGCAATAAGAAGTACTTAGTTAAACCGTAAGAAGCCACTCGAATCATGTGAAGATAGTAATTAGTTTCACAAAACACAGATTAGTACTAGAATGCATTTGCTTTCAAATTGGATGCTCTTCAAGAAGCCACTTGTACCCACTTTTTTAGGTCTTTTGTCTTTTAACTTTGGCTTGAATGATTTTATTTTATTCATGTGATGAACACTAACTGAAGATATGTTGGTTTACTTGCTTAAGTGACTTTGAGCTCTCCATATTTCTTGGTTCCAAGTTGGTATTTCTGGATTATTATTTTGTTATTGCTTTGTCTTTCCTCGCTGCATTAGCCGTAACTCATAAATTTTAACTATTAAATGGACAAATAATATAGGCATTATGGATCTCAACTATACACAGTTATTGCTTGATTTGCGTGTGCCCTACATATTTGTTGATAAGATAATTCGATTGGGCACTTTACTAGCCTCAGTATGTCTTGCATGTGCTCAAATTTCT